TTGATAACAAAGTCAGAATAGTGGGAACTATTAGGGCTACAAAGATGCTCCGAGGGCTGGAGCCCCTCTGCCATGGGGACAGGCTGGGAGAGTTGGGCTTGTTCAGCCTGGAGAAGAGAAGGCTCCGGGGAGCCCTTACAGCCCCTTCCAGTACCTGAAGGGGCTACAAGGACGCTGGGGGGGACTTTTTACAAGGGCCTGTAGTGACAGGACAAGGGGTAACAGGTTTAAATTGAAAGTGGGGAGGTGTAGATTAGATATCAGGAAGAAGTTCTTCCCAGAGAGGGTGGGGAGGCACTGGAACAGGTTGCCCAGAGAAGCTGTGGATGCCCCATCCCTGGAAGTGTCCAAGGCCAGGCTGGATGAGGCTTGGAGCAACCTGGTCTAGTGGAAGGTGTCCCTGCCCATGGCAGGGGGGGGGGGACTCGATGATCTTTAAGGTCCCTTCCAACCCAAACCAGTCTGTGATTCTATGAACAAAGTCAGAATAAAGATTCAGGGGTAGCTTAACCATTTTTTTTTTCAGAATTGTTTTTGTTTAACGCTCTAGAATTCAAATGAAGTGACTAGGACTCAGCAAAAATGTTGTTCCTGTGTAGAAAGAAGCCCCCAACCCAGGAACGCTGCAGTGAAGTGGGCATGGCAGAGAGATGGCTGCCAGTGACTTGTTTTCTCTTTCCCACTAAGCTACCCATTCAAAAGCCTGCGGCACTGCGTGAGTGCTGGGGAGCCAATCAACCCTGACGTGATGGAAGAATGGAAAGCGCAGACGGGGCTGGATATTCATGAAGGCTACGGGCAGACAGAAACAGTATGTTCTGCTGTACACATGTAAACACGTATGCTTTGCAGACGCAGCAGTAAGTTCTATTCAGGTTGCTGAGAAAAAGCAACTGAAATTATTAGATGCAGTTACGAATTTTAGGGGAAAATCAATTGCAATAAGCAACGCTGGAAAAATGCCGTTTTTCGTAACAGCTTCACCCAAAATCCAAGGGCTGTTTTTCATTCCTGTAGGCTTTGGATTGGGAACTAACCCAAGGGGGGTATATTCCTCATTACTGCATTCCAAATTCTGCTTTAAAACCTACCTTTAGAGCACTCACATTATGTGGGGCTGTGGGCATGATTCTGAGGGCATAAGTTATTTCTAGAAGTTCAGTCACTGGATATATGATTATAATGACAACAATCAGCATTTCTCACAGAAATACACACTATTAGCTGAGTATTTTAAATCTAAGTGAAAGATTAAATATACAAGCCAGTTTAATTAAACCAAACCAAACCCAACAATTCTTGAGACAGGTGCTGATCTGTGGAAATTTTAAGGGAATGAAAATCAAACCTGGCTCTATGGGAAAGTCGTCTCCAGGGTACGATGTCAAGGTATTGTACCTCTGGCGACTCAGTTGCTCTCTCTTGCACGATCACTTTCCATTAAAAAGGTTGTAAAGCTCTAACAAGGAGTTGTACCATGTACCATCATTCACCAGGGGATGAAAGTGAAGAAAAGCAAGTTACTGCCCTAAACTGAGCGTGCAGAATTAGCAATTGAACTTCCCTGTTGCACCATCCTCACCAACACCGATGGTGACCCGCTGCTGACTGACAGCTGGCGTTCAGGCAGCGACAGAAATTAAATTGCTGCATTAAGGAAGAGTGGGAGTGACTGTTGTTTCCTGGTGATAACAAAACTGCTGAAGCAGATTCTAGCACCAGATCAATTTGCAGTATGGGTTAAGATTTTTAGTATCTTTCTTTCAGTTGGATCCTCCCTGGGGTCTTACTGACTTCACTGCATGTTTGCACAGCCCTTGGCATTCCTTGGATAAAAGTCTTAGTGCAAGTACAGTGGGTTACTAAGAGTCTTACACTTCAGTTGTCAGACTCCCTGCTGCATTCCCAACTGCATTCCCTACTTCATTCCCAGTAAAGAAAATACTTTGATTATGTCCTTTAAATATGCATCAAGATTCTATAATCTTAACGCTTTTTAATTTGGCTCCAAGATAATAAAACTGTGTTTTGTTTATTTCTAGATTATAGATGAAAACAGCAATATTCTGCCTCCTGGAAAAGAAGGAGATATTGCCATCAGAGTAAAACCTACGAGATCGCTTTTTCTTTTCACTTGCTATGCTGTAAGGCTGTTTCTGCAGTTAAAGTCGATATCCCCTTAAACCTCTGTCACAAGGAACCTGGTACCCCATTTCCTTGACACATACTCTGCTTACTGGTCTGAAAGCTTGTGGGGAGAAAAGAGGGATTTCCATTTTTTCCTGGGGATGCTTGGTCTACTTCCACAATTGCGTGTTTGATGGGACTGTCCTGCCTAGCAAGTTGAAATCCACTTTCTTTTGATTGTTATTTCCTTAAGAGAGACGTTTGACACACCCCTCCTAATCCCAAATTACTCTTTGGCCTAAGGACTAGGGCCCCCATCTGAGAAGTAGGACACTTAAATCCCTTCCCTCCAGATCTGAGCTACACAGAGTGATTCATGCATAGCAGAACAGCTTTTTTCCACGTTGGTTAGAATTTTCAGTCCAACAACCAGTAGAACAAACGGGTAGTACTTTCAGACCAGGATACCTTACTAAATTTTATGGATGGTATCACCCTATAATCAAGTCTTCTGCACAGTACTGAGTGTGCGGGAAAGGGACACCATGCGTACTGCCCGGAAAAATTCTTGCAGGAATCAGTTGCGTTTGCTGTGGAAAGAGCACGTCCCATCAATTGTGCTGTGCTGAGCCAAGACCTTTCTGGGGATGAAAAAAAGAAATCTCAGGGTAGGACATGCTAGAAATACAAAGGAAAAAACTCATTAAAGGATAAGCTGGTAAAAAGCAAATTCTCAGTTCCGTGAGCCCACGTATTTTTGCAACCTTCAGTGGTTCCAAGAGCCGTGGGACATAATACGATTAAAACCTTGTCAGTCACATTTACTGCAGTTCGTGAACCCTATACCTGGTTTTGTAGCTTGGTAGCTGTGAATTAACAATTCTCTGTTATTAATGTCCCACTTGAATCTGCTGCAAAACCACAGCACGGTCCAGTCTGAAAAGCTGAAATTGTTTAGTATTTGAGTGGACCGTGACTTACATCCTGAGTATGTTCAAAGGCAACTTCACGTACTTTGCATGTAAAATTAATATTTCCTAGGATGATCCAGAGAAAACAGAGGCAACGATACGTGGGGACTTTTATGTCACTGGAGACAGGGGGATTATGGATGAGGATGGATACTTCTGGTTTGTTGGAAGAGCTGATGATGTCATTAATTCTGCTGGGTAATTTCCTGATTAATTGGACTTGAATAACACAGAGGATCCCTGTGTATTTGGTAACACAGAAACATGGCTTCACAACTAAAAGTCCTTTCCTCCCTGTTAAAGGTACCGCATTGGACCATTTGAAGTGGAAAGTGCCCTGGTGGAGCATCCTGCAGTGGTGGAATCAGCAGCTGTCAGCAGTCCAGACCCCATCAGAGGAGAGGTAGACAAATGAACAAGCTTAAATGTTTAAATAGCTTTGTGCATACCAGAGCTAATAAAGCCCAACTCCCAGGGGTTTTGTATATCCAGGGATTTTTTTTTTTTCTTTTTTGAATTAAAACTAAATAAGAGTAGTAATGCTGACTTGAATTTATCAGACACTAGAAAATCCACCCAGAAAAAACTGACCAAGGCAATTGCCCCAAATCCCATGTAAACAGAAGCACCATTTGAAGCTTTCCCTGTCATTCAGAGACTTAGTTTTTTGTCTTTGTTAAAGTCCAAACCAGTAGTGAGCACCCACAGACTTTGGCAAAGCTTTCTGTACCTGCCCTTTACGTTACTCTGCAGCTCGTCAGCGAACGCTTCCTTCGAGTTTCAAATCTTACTGTTGTGTAATACTGGTTCACTGGCATTTAAACCACGCCTGCCATAACTTCTTCAGGTAGTGAAGGCCTTTGTTGTTTTAACACCTGACTATGCTGCACGCGATCCGGAAAGAG